TGAGATGTATTTCAAAAGAGATGTATTTCAGCAGAGTTTCCAATTCTTAATTTTTAACTTTTCTTGAATATTTGATTATATTTCAAATTTTGGCATTTTATAAATTATTTCAGAATCTCCAATTTTGCTCTTAATTTTCCTAAATTAATAATATGATAAGGCAGATTAATCAGTTACTATCATTGTGACAACATTTTCAGAATTTTAACGAAATGTATTAAAATTTGTTGTAAATGAAATTCTACATTCCAAATGTAATAGAACAATTAACCAATCAATAAAAAGTGTTAACAGAGAAAGGATAGCACTGTTAAGCGATTAAATCGCACATTGAAATCGGTGACGAGACTCTGTCGCCATCATTAACAGTTATTACGAGCATCGGTATCATCCATACTACTACTGCTACCACTGCTGCCACCATCACTATCCATCATCATTACGAAATATTGATTATTGTAGGTAAGTATGAGAAAGGTAAAGATGGCAAAGAAAAATCGAAATAACGTATCATTTTACAAATTGATTATGTGATAAAGAATAGAAGATGAATTACAGCAATAATGTTATAAACATTATTGCTGTAATTCATAAACATTATTTGATGAATTCGAATTTGCAGATAATAAAAATTTGATAAGAAATTCTTTTATAATTAAGTGATGAGTAGTAAATTTCAATTTAATTCCAAAAAATTTTTTGTTTTTAATGGATCGAATAAAAAAATTTTTTTAAAATGTCCTTAAATGATATAAAATAATCCCATATATAAAATCAACGAGGGAAAATTTTTTTAAATGTTTCCCGATAAAATGTTAAATCAGAAAGAGCAGGGATAAGTAACAATCGATTTGTTTATAGTTTACTCTTTTTAGGTTGACGAGAAAAAAGAAGCACCTTCGTTATTAATCGTTTATCACAGAAGTTTTTGTGGAATTATCACGGATATTTTAAACCAATTTGCTGCTGCTATTACAATTTGATAATTAATATGGCATTTCAAGGGTATTCAATTTATTATTTTGATTGGATTATTTAATATAATTACGATTTCCAATAACCTTTTTTTTTAAAGAAAAGAACAAAAGATTAAAATGGAAAAAAATTGTTATTATTAATATTTTTTAACTTTATTTTTCGCAACTTTTGCTACTTTATTTTGGAATTGTAGAAAATGAAGAAAATGCTCATTCATTCTGACAAATATCGTTAATTAAATCAAAATATTCAAAGCAAACCAAATATGTAATACGTCATTTTTAATTATTATAATATAAAAATTAATTTGAAATATATTTTTGTTTAAACGACACGTTTAATACTATGTTTTATAAAAATGTATTTAAAAAAAAAAAACCATTTATATCTGAATAAATCATTCACCTTCCTTTCTTCTATTATTTTCATCATGTGTCCCTTTAAGATTTTTTAAAATTTAATCGGACAGTTTCATGCTTATTCCAAGATTATGGTTTATTGTGGTTGAATAAGAAAATTGATTGTTCAATCATTTAACTACTCTTTAATTGATTGTTTAATGCACAATTAAATTTTTTGCTTTAATATACTTAATTCAAGTGTTTAAGCAAATTGCTTAATTAATCTTGACATAGCGAAATTTGTGAATGAACAATGAATATATTGGGAGAAAGAAAGGATGGACAAAGCGAAAATGGATTCAAAATTTCACTATGCTGGCAGAATTTCGCAAATAGTCTAAATAATTGTTAACAGAATAATTATATTTTAAGAATTCTATTTTTCCTTTTAAAATTATTAATTCAATTGATTTGTTTTTCATAGCAAAAAAATAAATAAAGAGAAATGATGAGTAATTCCAATCAATTAACATTTAAAAAAATTTAAACGATTCACTCACAAATTCTAATCAAAATGTCATTGCTACATCGGGTGGAATTTAAAGTAAATAACTGAACTTTTACTAACGCAAATCATGGATCATCACATTAATGAATCATTCATGCACTAATTTTAATCATTAACTTTTTAAATTTCCAATGAAATAAACTATGAATCATTGCGTTGAAATTTGTTTAAAACTCTTCGAAATTCTTTCAATGAATCATTTCTTATTGATTTCAACTGTGAAATTTATTCTTTTCTTCTTTTGCTTTTTACTTTTTATTTGTTACTTTTACTATTTCTATTTAAATTGTTCAATCATTTTGATAAATAGATGGTATTAATTGATCGGAATTTTTTCTTGCTTGTTTCGCTTTGTCTCTCTCATTTTTTCGTTTTGTATTCGTAAAATATAAAAATGTATTTAACTATTGCCATTAGTTTTGGAACGAATGCTGTGCAATGTATTTCTTCAACCGCAGCTGTACAAACTTCAATTTGTTCCATTTCAGCTTTTCTACTTTCTTTCGTTTTCATTCATTTTATTTTATTCCAATTCTCTTTTATTTTTAAATTGTTTTCATTAATTTTAAACTACAATTTGTTCTCTTTTCGAAAACTATTTGCTTCATCAAAAGTTGTTATTTTACAATATAAGAAAATACTATTTTTCGTTTACTTTTTTTTCTATTTTCTTAGAGAGCTATCGATAAGCTTCAAAAGCCAAATCAATTTGTTTATTTGCTTCGATTCCCCAATGATAAATATAATAATAATTTACTGTAATTTTATTGAGATATTATATCGTACAGAATTAAAAGTAACTGCAAGGAATAGCCGGCTTTGTTTTTTTTTTTTTTGGGTCAGTCTTCCTATCTTACCTTTTTTTAGTTGCAATTTTTAGTTTTTGTTAAATAAGTTTTGTTAAATGTATTTTATAAATCTAACAAATATAGGCAATTACCAGTTTCATTACTTTATTATGTTTGAAATTTCAAATTTCTTGTTTTATTAATATACATAATATATAAATAGAAATTTCAAACATAACAAAGCGGCAGTAGGACAAAACACCGAAAATCCCCTTTATTCTTTATGCTATTTGTTAAGTAATTTAGTAATTGCTATCGAATAAAAGAAAGATAATGGAACGAATAAATGGATAAATTAAATTTGACATCAATTATTTGATATCTTATTAATAATTAGATTTTAAGCAGTATTACTTTAAAAATAGTGAGAATTTTCATTTCCTTTTTTTCCTAAATATCCATTTTTCACCATAATTTTTCGAATAAATAAACATCCTTATACTGTATTATGAAATGATTGTACTTCACCTTGAAAACCAGTTTTTAATTTTTAATTTTCCTTTTTCCTTTTTTTTTCCGAAATATTTCCTATGAATTCGTTTTAGTATTCTTTACACAGAACTTTTTCTCATCCGATAGAATGGCATTGCCGTATTAAACACGAAGATAGGACAAATTTTTGTCTAAATAAATGGAAAGTTCCACTTTCTCTTAAATTAAATTCATTTCAAAATATTATTGAATCAATCATAGCAAAATTTATCAATAATTCGCTTAGACCTAAGTTCATTTTGAAATATCTTCAAATCAGTAACTCAGTATAATATTTTTTCAAAGTGAGAAAAAGAAAATAAAAAGACGTCTGCTAAAATATCGATTTAAGAATATTTCAAAATGCATTTAAGCGAGTTACAAACTTTTATTGTCTGTCATATGTCACCTGTCACAACGAAGTGTATAGCTTAAGATAACACGTGACACATATTAGTTAAAATTTCAACATTATTTTAAACCAATTTGCTATATAACTTATGTTTTTTGCAGTGCTATGATTTGTAAATTAATTATAAACAAGAAATATAGGCAATTTTGATTTCATAACACTTCAAAATACTTTCAATATTTTTGTAATATGTAATACTGAACTAATTATGAATTGAGGAACGAATTAATCAAATGTACGAAAAATTTTTCTGAAACCGAATTAAAACTTTTAAGATTCGAGAAAAAGATAGTGAATGCAGAGAATTTGAATTTAAATGTTTAAAGTCAAAAATGAACGTTATTTCAAAATTCATCTTTTCTTTGCCTTCACAAACAGCATCGTTTCTTTACTTACTTAGTATTCGTTTCCCTTATCTCGAGAAAAGATGTTAATTAAAATATTAGGATATTTTAATATTCAATTTATTAGAGGAATAAATGAATTTCATTAAATAAATTACATGCAAAATAATTTTCATTTATTTTGCTGTAAAAAAAAAGAAATGGGAGGAAAAAGTTTTTACATTATGTGCGTAGATATACTTCCATTTCAAATTAATAAATGATTTGAAATGATTATGTTTGGTATTTATTTCAAATTATTCATTATATTATAGAACATGCTGCAATCAAAAATTACAATCTGTCTATCTATATTTCTTTCAACAAGCATTCTTCTGTTACTGAATTTTAATTGCTAGCTATTAATTATTGGAATTTATTAATAAGATTATGGAGAATTTGAAAACATATACCTGTCAGATTCTTTTTTTCTAAATCAAATTTTTTATTAAATGCTAATTATAAGGCCATTTGACGAAGCAATATATTATTGTAAATAAATTTCTTGAAAGTAATGAACAAAGAAATTTGGAATAATTACGCCAATGCAAATTACTTTCATTTATTGTATGTTAGCATTTGCTTAAAAGGATTTGCCTAAATTGGATAAAGTTTTCGGATTGAATTTTGGAATTATTTGCAAAAAAATGAAAAGAAAATTTATTCAATGAAATTAATCAACTTGTTCATTACAAGAAGTTACCCATTTGTGCTTTGAAATTATATTTAATACTAACGCATTTAATTTTGTGCTGTCAGAAGTAATAGATTGCATAATTAATCACTTTTTCAAATTTCAAAAAAGTCACATGAATTTTTAGAGCTATTGTATTGCAATTTTAGAACTTATAAATTCTAGTTTTTTCGAGAAAAATAGAAATATTTGGATCAATTAAATTAATTTCTTTTCTGTTCCAACAAATGATAAATCAAAAACCTGATATTTTAACCTATTTTCGACGGAAAGGAAAAAAAATTGATAAGAAGACGAAAGAAAGAATGATGACGTCACCGCCTTCTATGTTATTGGAATCGTCGAGAATTTCTTTTCGATTATTTTTCATTTAAATTTGAACTTCCTGAAAAAAATTTCTTAAAATGAGTCATAAAATTTTTATTACCCATACTTAAAGTACTGGACTATTCCTCTTTAAACTAAGTAATTCTTGTCATATCTGTTACTTAAATTACAATTTTATTAACAATATTGTTAAAATTTTCAGCTTTATACGTTTTTCAAATAATCAATTTTTCGCATAATTATTTTTAGATTCTAATTTTGCTGACATCATTGAGGATATACATATTTTTAGAAATTTCCCTATTGCTCGACCGGCAAATTCATCGTCGGTCAATCATCTGTTTGAAGGAGAACAAGACGGTTACATCAATCATTCGCATCAAATAGTAATGAATTCCAGTAATAGCCGTACTGTTCCGGTACAGTTAATTAGGAAAACATCTGTTGATGATTTTAATGAGCGAATGATCGGAATGCTGGATCAAGTGGAGAAACGAGTAGAACAGCTTAGGTTGTATTTTGCTTGTTTCCAATACCAATCAAAATATGCAATGATAAATTAACAGTTTACAATTAGCAATATTAATTGGTTAATTTTTTTGGAAACTTAAAACGGATATATAAATTGCTATATAATTAATGTCGTATACTTTCTTTTAGAAAATAAATATATTTGGCTTAAATTTAATTTTACACGGAACAGTTAGACCGAAAAAATGCTTTTGCATCAAGTAAAATTAAATAACTATAAGGTAAACTTAAGAAGAAAAACGAAATTTATTTCAATTAAAAAAAGAAATATCATAACAGTAATAATTAATGATAATAACAATAGGGGAATAATAATGGCAAGTGTTTTATGATTTAAAATAAACATTAATTTTTTCAAAAAAGAAACAGTTTTTTCTCTCAAAATGCACGAAAAATCTGTCTTGAAAAATTTAATTTTTTTCCTTTTTTTTTCGCTTAATTTCTTATATTACTACAGGGAATCAGCCGGACAATTGGAGCAAGAAAAAGAATCACTAATTAATATGCTTGGAAATGTGAATTTAGATTCTGAAATGCTACGTTTAGGACAAGGTAAACGTAATATTTAATAAATTTATGAAAAATTAACAAATAAAAGCAGTGAATATTTGCAAAAAAAAATTTTTTTCATCATAAATTATAATAAATCAATCAATACTTCAAATGGAATTCTTAAATCAATTCTCAAATTGCAAATTATTAGTTCACCATAATTCTAAAAATGATTACTAACAAAACATGATTGGTTTATAATAATTATGATATATTAGTTCTAATGTAATTCATTCATACTCTGTTTACATGTAATACAACAGTGGTATTTTTATTTTTATTTTCTGGATTAATACCAAATTAAAATATTTCATCCAAATATCAAAATATTATTATTAATCAATATTTGCGTTTTTTTTTCAAAGCCTTTGCAAAATTTAGGTGATCGAGATGATATTAGCGCAACAGCTAGTCGTTTATTAAATCGCTGCAAAGCTGTTGAAGTGGTCGTAAATACACCACGTAATGCGGAACAAACACAAGCATTAAATAATGTTAACAATTTGATTGAAGCAGCGATTAATAAAATGAAAGAAGATTTGAATAATGCGAAGGAGGTATATATTTTTTTGTGCCTAACAAGAAGTATTTTTTTTTAGTTTCATGTATGTAAGGCTAAAATTCAAAGAATTTATAAAATTGTGAAAGAAAATTTTGATTATTGCAAAATTTTCTATTATTACTATTTTTTATAGGCAATGAAGCGTTTTCTCAATGCTTGTTCACCAGATCTACCTGATGGACCAATTGATCAACGATTTCAAGCTCAGGTAAAGTTTTCAAATTTATATAGCTTTTACTACCATATAATTTACT